TGTTCATTTTAAAGTAGTTCATTTTATGTTATATGAATTTCACTTCAAAAAAAATTTTTTAAAAGAAAAGTCATGGAAATGCTCTATGTTGACCGATAGTAAAGAAACATGAAACCTAGAATGAATTGTTATTGGGGGGAAAAAGCTCTTGAAAAATGTTATTGGGTCTACTGACAAAATTGGAATATAGGTGAGAATATTAGATTGGAAATATTGTATGGATTCTGAATTTTCTAAAGGTGATACTTTATTGTGGTTATGAAAGAGAATATTTAAATCTTAGGAAAGCACACTGAATTATTTAGCCAAAAATGTTATGATGTATGCAAACTACACTTAGCTCATGAAGAAAATATCATATGTATTTGTGGAGGGAGAGTGCTCTAATATATGAATACAAATGTTAAAGCAAATAGAACAAAATTTCAACAATAGGTGAATCATGGTAAAGGCTACATGAGTGTTCGGTATACTATTCTTATTTTTTATACTTTTCTATAAGTTTTAAATTATTTCCAGAGAAATGTTGAAAAAAATTATTTACTTGTGATCCACTTTAGTAAATATATAATAGCATCATAAATATAGATGAAATTCCTTGCCTAATTTTCCCAGGGATGAACACTATCCTGAATTTTGCATTTATTAGTACCAGGCATATCTTTATACTTTACATATTTATTCATATTTTAGCAATGTATTATAAGCATTTCGCATACTTTTAAATGTTACAAAATGCAATCATCTGTATAACTGCTACACATCTGACTGCACGCACTCAGTGTTATATTTGTGATGGTTATTCATGGTAATATTAGTTTATTCATTCTCATTGCTGTAAAAGTGACCCAGAAGTCTGCATGGGTTTTTAAAATTTATATTAAACCCACAAGTATAAATGCTACAAACTTACAAAAAAAATCTATGCCACTTGAAAATTGTGTTTAAATTTCTTTAATGATTAGTTTCATGAATTTTAAATAATACATTTTTATGATTAATTTTTTTCAATCAACATTTGTCATCTTCAATCAGAGTAAGTATAATAGTAATTTCATAATTGGATTTTACCACAGTTCATTCATTCTCACATTTAGGATATGTCTACTTTTTTTCTTTATTTCAAATATTGCTACAATGTACTGCTTTATACTTCTCTTCCTGTGGGTCTGAGAGAATTTCTGTGGAAAGTAATTGCGGATGGAATTGCTAGAATTTTTTAAATAACTGGATATGTGCATCTTTATTTGTATTTTTCACAACAGTATGTGTGGTAGTTCCTTTTTCTCCCCATCCTCATAAGATGGCTTAAATTGGGCTATTATGATAGATTTGAAATCATATGTCCCTGAAATACTCAGTTGTGCTTTTCTGATTACTAGAGACATTTGAGCATATTTTCACGCATTACCAACTGTTTTGATTTCCTCTTCTGTAAATTATGAATTCATATTCTTATGTTGCTTTTTTCTTATTGATTTTAGTAGAGTTTTTTTAAAAAAACATTTTAAATACTTAGCCTTCCATTTATATATTTTGCAGGTAATTTCTCAATCTGAGACTTGGCTTTACTTTTTTAATGTTATCTTTTGACATATTTTTAATTTAAAATCATTCAATTTATTGATGCTTTTATTTATTTGTGATTTATATAGTTTACTTATTTCCTATATGAATTGATAAATATATTTCTTGACTTTTTATTTTTTTAATTAAATCTTAGCTGTGTACATTAATTCAGTCATTGGGTACAATGTGCTGGTTCTATACACAATCTGAAATACTTTCATCAAACTGGTCAACATAACCTTCATGTCATTTTTTCTTGACTTTTTAAAATTAGTATTACTTTAAGGCTGGGCACAGTGGCTCACGCCTGTAATCCTAGCACTCTGGGAGGCCGAGGTGGGTGGATTGCCTGAGCTCACAAGGTTGAGACCACCCTGAGCAAGAACAAGACCTCATCCCTAAAAATAACTGGGCGTTGTGGTGGGTACCTAGAGTCCCAACTACTCGGGAGGCTGAGGCAAGAGAATCAAGATTTAAGGTTGCTGTGAGCAATGATGCCTCAGATTTGAGGCTGCCCAAGATATGAAGTAAGCTATGATGCCATGGCACGCTACTGGGGGCGACAAAGTGAGACTATCTCAAAAAAAAAAAAATTAGTATTACTTTAAATTGACAGTTCATAATTGTATACATAGATGGGGCACAATATAATGTTTGGTATAAGTATATAATGTGGAATGGTTAAATAAAGCTAATTAACATGTTCATAATTTTACTTGCCTTTTTTTTTTGGTGAGACCTTTAAAATGTACTCCCTTTGCTGTTTCAAATATGCATTATTATTGGCTGTAGTCACCTTGCTATGCTATTGATCTCAAAAACTCATTCCTTCTGCTTAACTCAAACTTTATACCCTTTGATCAACAACCCATAGCCCCATGCCCTCTTTCTACCCCTACCATAAAAAAGAAGGAAATCTTGTGATTTGTGATGACGTGGATGAATCCAGAGAACGCTTTGCTAAGTGAAATAAGCCAGGGACAGAAAGACAAATACTGCATGATCTTGCTTATATGTGATATCTGACAGCTTTTATTCAAAGTTTTAATGTCTTTTGATAGTGATTCACATCATTATTTGGAGAGCTTGTTGGTTCAGTGAAACATTCTCAAATGTGGACTATAAACCAGGAATTCTGCTAGGCAGGAGGGATACAGTAGTGTGTAAAGCCTAGTAGAGTCTTTGAGGAATTGAAGAGGTTAATGTAACTCCATTTGGGAATGAAGAGGTTAATGTAACTGCATTTTAGAACTAACTCCCTACTCCCCTCCTGGGCAAAGTTACCCAGGAGGAATTAGTCTTTCAAAAGGAGACTGGCTCCCTCCTCTGCACTTCCTGGCAGCCAGTCTGAAGGGCACGGGTCCCCCCCCCTCCTTCCACATTTCTGGGCCAGGTCAATCAGCCCAGACAGAGCCTGTCTATCAGAAGTGGACAGGCAACCCTCCTCTGGAAAATCCCTAAACATAAACCCACACTGTAGCACCTCTGACGTATCAGGTGGTGCCTAGCATCCCTGGACAACAGCTCAGCCAATGGCAACCCCTCCCGACAAAAAGCCCAATGAAATTCCTCTATACACTTTAAAAACCCCTCGCCTCATTTGGGGTTGCCCTTCCCCCTGCTACACTGTAAGGTAGAGTGACCCAAACATATGCTTGCAAATAAAGCACTTCGTTGTCTTTACATGTGTAAGGTAGTCTCTCAGTGGCGATTTTGGTCCCAACAGAATCACATTTTAATGAAGGGGACTTCAGGCAGAGAAAACATAAACAAACGAAGCAGAAATATCAAAGTAACAACAGTGTTTGAAAGAAAGGGTCAATATCGATCAGGTATAACAGGAGGTGGCACTGGGATTGGAAAGATGGTTGTAAAACCATGAAGACGTTTTGGAATGGAGCTCAAACTTAATTTTGTAGGTTACATGTTTTCAAACATTTTTAGCAATAGAACCCAAAGAATTCAAAGGAAATTAGTGGTAACAGCTATAACAATTACAGTAATAATCAGCTTATATATTGATTATTTACCATGATACTGTGTTGAAAACTCCATATGTTACCTCATTTCTTCTTCATATCAACCCTATAAAATAGATTTTTAAAACATTTTACCAACTAAGGCAGGGAGATTAATGTATAAAACAAGTTGAAGCAGAGCTTCTCTTGTTGATTTGCTTAAGTGAAATAAAATACATTTGGAAAACAACACCCAAAAGGATAGGACGTTATCAAAAGTTTGAACAACAAAGTGACATAATCGGATTTTTATTTATGTTCATCATTCTAAAAACTGTCTGGAAAACAGATTTGAAGGGAAGGAGGACTGGATTAGGAAACCAGTTATTACATTAGCCTGAATAAGAGAAGATTAAAAATCTGAACTAAAGTTTCTGATGTGTCACATGGGATAAGTTAGAAATGATAAAAAGGAACAGCAAATAAAAGTGTACCAAGAGGAAATTTGCATATGTCACATGAAGGAGTAAGCGATGGCCAAGGGAGATACGGAAAGTGTTTTTACCTTGAGAAAACAAATGAGGACTCTTGATTCAGTAGGTCCACGTGATTATGGTTGAAGTGATTCAAAAAAGATGACTTAGCTTAGTCATAAAAAGAAGAAATTAAGAAATGCTGCATTTATTAACTCTAGTTTGATAAGATATTGTTTATATGTTGCATTTTCTAGAGTTGCCACTAAAAAAATGGAAACAGACCTTATAAGTTCTACATTGGCAGAGGGGATAAAAGAAGAGGCAGGAGAAATCAAAAAGAGAAAGAGGAGGTAGAATAAATAAAAAGTATAAATAAGATGCCATATCTATCTATATGTATAGTGTATATCTCAATAATTATAAGTCAATTAAATGATATGAAATTTTAATTCATTTACACTGGATTAAAAATAATTTCAGTTACAGACAGTCCCTAATTTATGAGTTTTCAACTTACAGTTTTTTAACTTTACAATGGGTTAATTGGGATATAACCTTAAGACAAGGAGTATCTGTCTATACTATTTGTTATAAAGAAACATGGAAGTTAAGAAATGGGAAGAGATATAATAGGGAAGTTCGATGACAACAAAGATGATGCGGTATCAGTAACAGACGAATAGACTCTGCAGGGGATGGGGGAGGGGATTAATAGAATAATGCTGTTGTCTCAAGGAGGAACTTTAGTACAGACCTATGAGATGAAAGTTGAGAAGAAGGTAATAGTCTATTTCCAAACAACTAATATGTTCCATGAGTGTTACACTGATTTGAAGAATAAAGGCAAAATTGGAAGTTTGGGAAAACAAATACCCATAGGTTATATGGAATTTGCAGTTTAATCAAATACTTTCTTTCAGACGTTCCAAAAATATTGGCTTTTTCTTTCCATGAAAAAAAAAATCCATTTGGTAAGCCTCTGCTTTTGTGTTTGCAGGAATTCAAAATGTCCTTAGCCTCTTTTGTGCAGTACTCACAGAAAATAAGGTTCTCTTCCATTCTGCGAGTTTCCAGAGACTGAGTGATGCTTGTAGAGCTCTGGAATCTTTAATGTTTCCGCTTAAATATAGGTGAGGTTTTTACTTGGAAATTTGATTTATTTATTGTGCGTTACTTATTTAAGTCATAATATTATGATGCAGTGGTATTGAACCATATAGGCACATTTCACAAAGTTATGCTGTTATGAGTCATGATTGATTCTGATAAAATCTAGCCTAGAATTTGTCTAACTGCCCGTTACTAAATGTTAATTAATTTGATGAAAAAATATTTAATTTTAATAATATTGTCAGCAACACTTAATTCTCTGTGAATACAATCAATAAAAGTCTTTAGTCAGTGCTGTTTTTGATATTAAAAGGATTATTATTAATTTTTAGGTGTTATAATGATATTGTGGCTTTACTAATAAAAAGAGCTCTTATCTTTCTTAGACACCCACTGAAATATTTATGTGTAAATGATAGGATGTCTGGTTTTTTTTGAAAATAATAGAGAACAAAAGTGGGTGGAAATACATGTGGCTGGGAATTGGTAATTGTCAAAACTGGATTGAATACATGGAATTCATTATAAGTCTTTTTCTTCTAATTTTTTCAGGGAATATATTAAAATATTTCTCCTAATAAAAAGTTAAAAACAAAACAAAAAGTCTAACCAGTGATGCCTAATAGTGCTAAAAGTAGAATATTTTATCTCTAATATGCTATAACCAATTTGATAATCATAATATCTTAGAAACTAGATAAAATTTAGACTGTCTCTAGAATTTCTTTAGAAAATGCTTTATGTACTTTTCTTACTCCTTTAGATAATAGAGTATTCTTGGCTATATTTTATTTTTGCTATTTTTATTGACTACAGAAATAAAGTATAGAAAGTGAAATTCGAATGATTGTTGTAACAAGGGTGTCCAGCCTCTTTTTTTTTTTATTGGAAGAGTAAAAGTTGTCTTGAGCCACACATTAAATATACAAACACTAAGGAAAGCTGATTAGCAAAAATAGTGCATACTTAGATTTCATGATAGCTGACGCCACAGATAAGCAAAAAAAGTCATCATAAAATCAGCATGTGATCCCACAGGCTGCAGATTGGACAGCCCTGTAATCTATGTAGACAGATCATTGGCCAGTCTTAGGACAGGGAGACCTATCACAGAGTCAGTGTTACTGACTAATGTCAGGTTTCTATGTAAGGAAAAATGCTTTCAAATGATACTAAAAGACCTAATGCAGCGGTTCTCAACCTGTGGGTCACAACCCACAGGAACTGATTAAAGGACCACGGCATTAGGAAGGTTGAGAACCACTGGCCTAAAGAAGCCCTTGCCTAGAGAAATAAAGGATAAGGAAGCAGACCTGGGTTCTATTTACTTCTTGTCTTGTTACATCTTTCACATGATTTTTAAATGACTTTTTCCAAAATTCTAATACAATCTTGAATGTATTGATAATTTTTAAACATAGTTAATATAAAGTTAACTATGCATAAAAAACAAAATATGCTTATATTATGGTAAAAGAAATAAATCTCACACATATTTTTATTATTTCCAGTTATCCTTATATTCCCATTCTCCCGGCTCAGCTACTAGAAGTTCTAAGTTCACCAACACCCTTCATTATTGGAGTACACTCTATCTTTAAAACAGATGTCCATGAACTTGTAAGTATTCATCTTTAAAACTTGTAGTTATTGAGTCTAGAAGCCTAAATAACATTTCAATTAATTACTGTATTCAAATATGTTGCATTTCAATAGAAAAGACTGTATGGAAGGAAAAAATATTGAAAAGTCTAGTGTATTAATGTTGCCATACAGCAAGTATGGGAAATTTTTAAAAGGAGTTCATCAATATTTTAAATATTTTAAAACACCCCTCTTTGGGCATATTAAGTATATCTTTTCTGTATTCCTCATCTTACATATGAGGAAAGGAAAATGATTTATTAATTAATATTCTATTTATACTTTTGTTATTAGTGCTGATTTACTCGGATTTTGAAGTGAAGCCTGTCAGTACTAAATGGCTGATAATTAAGAAAGCACTCATTTGCAAAAGAGTGAAAGATTTTAGTGAAGTACAAGTTTGGTATGCCCCCCACCCCCATGTATTTGTATTCCTAACACCACATGACTAGAAATACCAAAGAAGGAAAAGTAATACTCTATATTCAAGCCAGTTCTGGGATAATGCATTTAATTCTGTGTATCACATTTTGTAAGGGACTGTAACAAAATAAAGTACTTCAGGAAGGACATCCAGGATTATCAAGAGTTTATAAACTATACAAACTTATAGCTTTATATTCTTTAAAGCCCTAAGGACATTTTCTAAGATAATAGTCTAATGCTGTTTGATAGCTAATTAGTGTTTAAGTTACTGTTATAGAAGAAGGGTTAAGATTTGTTTTTGTAACTCTAGAAGGCTAAAATAGAATCAGTGGGTATAGTGGATATAGAAACAGATTTCTACCCAATAGTAGTGTTTCCAACTATTAGAGCTGCACAGTGATGGAACGAGTTTCTTTATCTAAGATAAGGCGTATATTCTTAAGCACAGTAAATAGAATGTAAGAAATAGATCACATGATACTTTTCAGGAACTTATGAGAAAAATCATTTACTGAAAGATTAGGTTATACATGTGAGATCCACAGAGACTTAAAACTATCTAATTCTACTTCTGTTTTAGTTTTGAATGCCAACAAAGAAGTAAGCTTTGGTGGTATTTACCCAAATCACAGTTGTAACCAAATCAAAAGTGTCATTTAAACTAACAAAAGATTATTAAACATTATAATTATAAATAGGACCTCCATTCATATATTCATCATTCTTTTTAACTTTATGTGTTGATATCTAGTCTTATTTAACTTAGATATCACCATATAAAAATATGTATAAATCGAACATTGAAATTCAGTGAAACCTAGGTAGTACTAATTAAAAGCATATCCATCTGGTTTGTAGATAATTTTATTACCACTAAACATAAACAGTCATTAGAGGTAAGACAAACCAAATGTTGCCAGATTTAGATTTTTTAAATTTTAATGAATAAATTAGAATGAACTATAATCATATTATCACTGTAACATCTTTACTAATGTTAGGTAGTTTCTCTTCCATTTTCATATGTTATTTTTGAATAAGCTCTCGTAAAATGCTAAAAATCAGTTTTTTTCTTAACCACTTAAATAATACTCCTTTGATGTACACTAATCGCTTTGCTTGTTAATTCTTGTAATAAATACTAATTTATTTAGGATCTGACTAAACTGTTATAATAAAACATCTGAAATGCAGGGGCTCTGTGCTTGCTTCAGCAGCACATGTAGTAAAACTGGAACAAAATGCAGTGGGTCAACCAAATGGAGTTTTATTTAACACTCTTGCAGCAGTCCAGAGACGTTGCATTATGCCAGACGCGGTTGCTCCGTGAAGTCATTTGGGGTTCAGGCTTCCTTCCTTTATGTTTCTCCAACAAAATCCCCACAGGCATCATCATCAATTTGAATGCCCAAGACTGGGTTGCTGCCGGCTTATAGTATCAGCCTATGGGAAAGAAGACAGAGAGGAAGCTTAAAGGAGCTTTATAGTACTCTCTATTTTGAGGCAGTGGAAGACACACATCATTTCTCATGTTCTCTTGGCAGAAATTTAGTCACAAGCCACACCTAATTTCAAAGAAGCAAGGAAATATACAGTAGCTGGAAAGCCATGAAGCCAGAATTCTATTACTATGGATATCTAAGAGCCAAATCCATACCTAATTCTTCTCATTTTGAATTGGTCAAGGCCAAATTAATTTGCTTAACACAAATGCATTTTATTAATTATCAATCAATTTTTAATGTCTTTCAGTTAGATGTAATCATAGCAGATTTGGATGGAGGCACTATTAAAATTCCTGAATGTATTCACCTCTCTTCCCTCCCAGAGCCACTTCTACGTCAGACTCAATCAGCTCTTTCTTTGGTATGACATGTATTTTTAATAGTAATTTTCTCGTGATTTAACTCTGAAACTAAGATAGTTACAATTAGAAATCTTTGTCAATGTCACTACTTTAAACAGTTGTATGTTTGAAACTTTAATATACTTTTATATAGTATTTAGAATAGAATTCTTCATTTACTAGGTAGTTATCTAAAGAATATGTTTTGAATCCTGGCAGGGTTCATTGGCTCACACCTGTACTCCTAGCACTTTGGAGGCCGAGGCAGGAGAATCGCTTAAGAGCAGGAGATTGAGACCAACCTGAGTGAGAACGAGACCCCTGTCTCTACAAAAAGTAGAAAAATTAGCTGGGTATAGTGGCCCATGGCTGTAGTCCTTGCTACTCAGGAGACTGCAGCAGGAGGATAACTTGAGCCCAGGAGTTGGAATTTGCAGTAAGCTGTGATGACCCATTGAACTCTCTGTCCTGGCCAATAAAATAAAGGCCTATCTTTAAAAAAAAAAAAAAAAAAAATATATATATATATATATATATATATATATTCAAAGTATATATACACTTTGAATCCGAACAATATTTGTTCTACATCCATTCTTTCATTCAGCTTGCTCATTCATTCATTCACTTATTTATTTAGAGAGAGTCTTGCTCTGTCACCCAGCCTGGAGTATAGTGGCACCATCATAGCTCACCACAGCCTCAAACTCCTGGGCTTAAGTGATCCTCCTACTACTGCCTCTGTAATAGCTGGGATTACAGGTGTGTACCACCATGCCTGGCTAATTTTTTTTCATCTTTTTAAGGACAGAATCTCTCTGTGTTGCCCAGGCTTATCTCAAGGTCCTGGCCTCAAGTGATCCTCCCAGGCCTATTTATTTAGTAGCTATTATGTAATGGATACAGTGGTAGGTATTGGAAACACACCTGTGCGAACATGACAAGACTCTTCCTTGAAATCCATGACTTCCATAATATCCCTCATTAGAAGTTAGCTTCTGTTCCCTTACCTCCATGTCGGCTTCTCATTCTTCTTTGGTCCCTGCAAAACAGTGGTATTGTCTTGAGAATGTTTTCAAGTTACTGTAGAAAGATGTGACTTATTGATACATTAAATGCCCAGCATTCCATGCAGTAAAATTTTAAAAAATCTTGTGGCCTGGGTTTTTCTTATGGAAACAAATTTAATTTGTTTTAGTTATTTTACCTTAGTTGAATTTTTTAAACATATCATTTTATTTTACTGATGGCCTTGTCAGATGTTCATTTATCCATCATCAGAAAATTGAACTTTAGAAATTCTGCATTCTTCTTTAAGACATTACTAGAACTAAGGCCTTCATATTCTTTTTTAATAGTATTTCGGTGTGTGCTATTGAAAATTGTTTTTTCACCCTTTACTAGAAACTCAGCTGTCAAGGACTGCCAGGCAGAATTTTATTCTCAGAAAACTTTTACATTTGTATTAGTCCTTATACATATTATTATAGTGTTACCTATGAAATGGGAACATTTACAGAAGACTACCTTTTTCTAATATAATTTATAATCTAAAATATAAGGTGTGATAGAGTAGAAAAAACACCAGTGTAAGATGCAAGAAACCTGAATTGCCTTGTCCAAAACCATTCTATTCCCAGAGGTACTATTCTATAGTTTAGGGTATATTATTTATTTTGGAACTTTTCACACTCATTTTTTTTTAATTTATTTTTATTTTTATTTTTATTTTGCAGTTTTTGGCCGGGGCTGGGCTTGAACCCACCACCTCCAGCATATGGGGCCAGCACCCTACCCCTTTGAGCCACAGGGTCACCCCCTTCACACTCATTTTTATATGTATATCAGTATATGTACATGGATTTAGAGTTTAATTTTATTTTCAAATAAATGAGACCATACTATGTGTACTTTTGTAGAACATGTTTTTTCACTAAATATTTTGTCATGGAGACAGTAGGCCACAGTACTTAGAGAGCTGCCTCAGCTAACTGAACTGTATTTCATGGTGGGCATATATCATAACTGATGTGCTAATACTTTTCATTTTAATCCCCCAAGAATAGACTTTATTGATATTAAGATATTTTTCTTAACAAAACTTATTTGCTTTAGATTTTACACCCAGATTTGGAAGTAGCAGATCATGCTTTTCCTCCTCCACGAACAGCTTTATCCCACTCAAAAATGCTGGTAAGAAGTTTAATATTTAACTTTCATGATTTAAGGAGAGCTGCACTTTATTTTTAATTATTAATGACACTGAATGAGTTTAGAGTTAGGTGGACAGGATAATGTAAAAGTGGAAATTAGGAGAGTTGCCATCAACTTTTTTGTGTTCCTACTCAAGGAGGGGTTCAGTACACAGCTCAGGAGAGTAAGGCTAAGATTCCTGCCCTGAGGAGACAGGAGTGCTGTATTTTTCCACATATAATGTGCATTATTTTTGGCCCAAATTTTTGAGGGAAAAATAGGGATGCAGATTACATATGCATAGTACAGTTGGGAAGTAGGGGAAGACCAGTGGGCCTCCTGCTACAGCACCTTTCTGCCTGGGTCCACCAGGGTGTGGGCTTCCGGTTTGGGAACATCAGAATCCAGTTGGAGTGGGCAGCCTCTGGCCAGCACCATAATCAGGGGAGGGGCAGTAGCAGCAGGGCTGGTGAGGCCTCAGGCCCAACTGCATAGAGGGACCATGAGCCTCATGCAGGCCCCAGGGACCTGCCTGGCTGCCTGTGAGCTGGTGACCTCAGAGCCACCTGCCCTGCTGACCACAGGTGCTGCTGTTGGCAGACCCCCTTGAGGTGGGGAGGGAATCACAGAGCAGGCAGCTGCAGGAGGGTGGTGCAATCTGCATGTTACCAAGGGAGAGTTAGCCCTCCCTAGATGTATCTGTTTCTGCTGAGAACTTTCTCAAGGGGTGTTCTCCTGAACATTTGGGCCAAAAAAGTGGGTACACATTATGCATGGGATCATATTTTACACAAGAAAATATGGGTAAATATAGGACAAAAACAAAAGAGAAGCTCAAAAGAATGGAAACAAATAATGTTGATAATAGGAGAGAATCAAGTTTGAGTAGTGAGTGGATGAAAATAGTTTCAATTAGAAGCCATAAAAGGGGTGAATATGTAACAGAGGCCCCTTTTTTTATTTTGTGTGATGTATTTTTATTTATTTATTTATTTTTGAGACAGAGCCTCAAACTGTCGCCCTGGGTAAAGTGCTATGGCATCACAGCTCACAACTCCTGGGCTTAAGTGATTCTCTTGCCTTAGCCTCCCAGGTAGCTGGGACTACAGGTGCCTGCCACAACACCCAGCTATTTTTTGGTTGTAGTTGTCATTGTTGTTTGGCAGGCTTGGGCTGGATTCAAACCCGCCAGTTCTAGTGTGTGCGGCTGATGCCTTAGTCACTTGAGCTACAGGCACCAAGCCTGCGTGGTGCATTTCTTAAACACAATTTTTACAGCCAATAAGGAGCCTCCGAGAACTGAAAACAAATAGCTTAATATTTCTAGACCTTCATTTTACCATTAGTTTAATAAGGAGCTGACTAAGTAAATCTGTAAGTGTCCTTGCAGTTCTAAAATGACAGTTCTCACCAGGCGTGTGGCTCACACCTGTAATCCTAGCAGTCTGGGAAACCAGGATGAGAGGATTGCTTGAGCTCAGGAGTTGCAGACCAGCCTGAGCAAGAGCAAGACCCCATCTCTTCTTAAAAAAAAAAAAAAAAAAAGTGTTGTGGCAGCTGCCTGTAGTTCCAGCTACTTGGGAGGGTGAGGCAAGAGGATTCCTTGAACCCAAGAGTTCAAGGTTGCTATGAGCTATCATGCCGCGGCACTCTACCCAGGGCAATAGAGTGAGACTTGGTCTCTAAAATAAATAAATAAATAAATACCAGTGGACTTGGGATATATTTCCCTAGAAGAAAATTCAATGTACTATGGCTCAGTACCTGTAGCTCAGCAGGTAGGATGCCAGCCACATACATTGGAGCTGGCAGGTTTGAACCCTGCCCAGGCCTGCCAAACAACAATGATGACCACAACCAAAAAATAGCCGGGCATTGTGGTGGGCGCCTGTAGTCCCAGCTACTTGGGAAGCTGAGGCAAGAGAATCACTTAAGCCCCAGAGTTTGAGGTTGCTGTGAGCTGTGACGCCACAGCACTCTACTTAGGGCAACATAGTGAGACTTTGTCTCAAAAAAGAAAATTTAATATACTAGAGGGAAGTTTTATTCAGTTCAATATAAAGAACAGTCTAAGCTTCCCAATACAATGCAGTAGACCAGAAGCCCACCATGCAGGGCTGCCACAAAGGAGGCTCCAATGTGGAAAACACAGGCTTGTTCTTGCCAATTTTTTACTTTCCTCCTTTTTGACTTGATAGTTCATGTGTTTTTGAGAAGTTAAATTACCTAATATGCTTTTTCTTATATTTTCAGGATAAAGAAGTGAGAGCAGTTTTCCTTAGATTATTTGCACAACTTTTCCAAGGATATAGATCATGCCTACAACTTATAAGAATTCATGCAGAGCCAGTAATACATTTTCATAAAGTAAGATATAGTACTGTATTGTATCTGTCCAAAAAGTAGACTCTAATTTAATAAAACTACTCAGCTGTCTTTTTCTAGCCTTGTATTTTGACCCTAATTATTAAATATGATTATTTAAAATCTCTACTTTGTGTAGTTACATGATAATTCTTAATAATACTCTGGAAGTGACTGAATGTTTTCCTCATGTTAACTTTAAGTTGGTTTTTCTCTTAAAGTTTAGTGTTAACTTCTGGTTTCTCCTTTTGACATACATACAGATTCATTTCTGTTCTTCTCAATACATGCAGTATTTCAGATCAGACAAAAAAACTTTTTGAGAGAAATGTATTTTATAACAATACATATTTATACATGAAAGCATTTATACAGGCTTTGATATTTTCATTATTTTTTTGACCATTTGTCAGTTACCAAGTGATAAATTATTATTTCACATTTTCTTTCTTTACAGACAGCTTTCTTGGGACAGCGCGGTTTGGTTGAGAATGATTTCCTTACTAAAGTCCTCAATGGAATGGCATTTGCAGGTTTTGTTTCAGAAAGAGGCCCTCCTTATAGATCTTGCGATCTCTTTGATGAGGTATAGTTCTTATAAAATGAGTTCATCATTTATAGATACAGTTAGACAAATAGTTAAAAATATAAAATATTTGAATATATAGTAATTTGAAACATTCCATAAATATATTGAAATCTATTATAAAGTAAGTATAAAATAATCTAAATATTATTTGTTATTATACTCACATATCTTCATATTTATAATGTAGATTAGAAAAATTAGCTGGGTACAGTGGCTTATGCCTATAATTCTAGCATTCTGGGAGGCTGAGGCAGGTAGATTGCTTGAGCTCAGGAGTTCAAGACCAGCCATATCTATTAAAAACTGAAAATCTAGCCAGGCATTGATACAGGGTTCCCAGTTCAAAAAAAAAAAGTTAGAAAAAAATATTAAGTATAGGATGCCTTGGAAGTACATACAATTTTTGAACAACTGTATTTTGAATAGATGATGAAAATGTTTTTGAAAATTTAACAGTGGGCTTGGCACCTGTGGCTCAAGTGGCTAAGGTGGCAGGTTTGAATTCAGCCCGGGCCTGCCAAACAACAATGACAGTTGCAACCAAAAAAATAGCCAGGCGTTGTGGTGGGTGCCTATGGTCCCAGCTACTTGGGAGGCTGAGGCAGGAGACTCGCTTGAGCCCAGGAGTTGGAGGTTGCTGTGA